AAATGCTGTCAGACCCAGTTCTGTCCCACTCTGCAGATGAAGGCCATTGCCCCACCGTGACACACCAGGTAGGTCCCAGGTTGTCCTGTGAGGGCGTGTGGACTTGTGCGTTACGAGAACCCAAAAATTGTTTCTATATGCATCACWTTTGTTAGGAGCATATACATTTACTTTTATCTCATTTTAATGTTTTTAAAAATTCTTATGTTGTCTATTAACTTAAGAAAGACCTCCTTTAGGATAAGGTAGAGAATCTCCTGGTTTCCCTTAGAATTAGTTGCTAACGGGGCTGACTTATGTTCCTGGGGTGGTATCTTCTGAGTTTCGAGTGTAGAGGCAACATTTCCTAATCTTTGCTCAGGTCCACCAGGAAGGATGCCATCCACCTTCTGTAACTATTTTTGTGGGTAGAACTGGACATATATTGAAGGCAAGGGCACGATCAAAGGCTTTAGATAGGGGAAAGAATAAAATTACAAATGACATGGTGAGATCTGGGTGGCCAATTAGCAATGTTAGTCCTGTACTATCCAGAGGCATCGACAGATTGCTTGAGAATCAACTCGACAGTCAGAATATCTGAGCCCCAATCCAGGCTTGGCCCAACCTGCACTGTGGATCTGACATCCATGATATAAACTCACATTCCCTGATTGTCCTCCTGGGTCAATTAGGACGATAATAAAGCACATGAAATTGACAAGATGATTTTGAAGCAAGCCCAAGTTAGGGGGCCTTTGCTTTAGAAAACAGATTTCCAGATTTTCAATGACTTTTAGAATAAAGGCATGAAAAATCCGAATTCAAAAGTAATATCTCATACTTTATTTCATATGTAGCACTTAGCACAGTGCCTGAAACAGCACTGGTGTCCAGGAACCACTTATTTCAATGAAAGAAGTGGARGGGGAGGGGGAGTGTGTAAAGAAATGGGAAAAAATAGTATCACAAAAAGATCGGAGTATTCACTTGGGTTCACGGTAACCATGAGGAAGCTTTTGTTTTTAAGTTTTGTTCTCAGACTACATCAAACATTCCCAAGGGCTTACTGAAGCACAGACTGCTTGTGCTTATCCTCAGGGTGATTCAGCAGATAACTGGGGCTGGGGACGAGGGATGTGCATTTCCGTCATCTTCCCAAGTGCTGCTGCTGTCCATACTGTTGAGATGTTTTCTCTCATATTTTCCATAAGATTCACCAGGAACATGGAAMCCACAAACCACACAGCTGTTTCAGAATTCCTTCTCCTGGGACTGACAGAGGACCCAGCCCTGCAGCCCCTCATCTTCAGCCTGTTCCTGTCCATGTACCTGGTCACCATCCTGGGGAACCTGCTCATCATCCTGGCTGTCAGCTCTGACCCCCACCTCCACACCCCCATGTACTCCTTTCTGTGCAGTCTGTCCTTTAATGACATCTGTTTAAGCACAAGCACAGTCCCCAAGATGCTGATGAACCTCCAGACACAGGATCAGAGCATCACCTACCCAGGATGTCTCTGCCAGATGTTTTTTGTCTTAGTGTTTGCATACTTGGAGAATTTTCTCCTTGCAGTGATGGCCTATGACCGCTATGTGGCCGTTTGTCACCCCCTGAGGTACACAGTCATCATGCTGCCCCACTTCTGTGTCCTGCTGGTTCTGGTCTCCATGTCCATCAGCACTGTGGACGCCCTCCTCCACACTCTGATGGTGCTGCGGCTGTCCTTCTGCACAGAAGCCCTGGAGATCCCCCACTTCTTCTGTGAACTCGCTCAGGTCATCAAGCTGGCCTGTTCTGACACCTCCGTTGATAATGTCCTGATCTATGTGGCAACTTGCCTATTTGGTGGCATTCCTCTCTCTGGGATCATTTTCTCTTACGTTCACATTGTGTCCTCTGTCTTGAGAATGCCATCAGCCGAAGGAAAGCACAAAGCCTTTTCCACCTGTGGGTCTCACCTGTGTGTTGTCTCCTTGTTCTATGGGACAGGTGCAGGGTTGTACATGAGTTCTGCATTTACTGACTCCCCCAGGAATTCTTCTGTGGCTTCGGTGATGTACACTGTGGTCCCTCAGATGCTGAACCCCTTCATCTACAGCCTGAGGAACAGGGACTTGAAGGAGGCTTTGAAGAGTCTCATCGGAAGGATAACTTCCCTTCTGTGACGTGATGACTTCTATTTCCACGCCTTCATGGTCTTTCTCTGTTGGTCTAGGGTCTAGAGTAAGTCAAGATGGCAGGATTCTCGTTGGGCCCAAATGTGTCAAACTTGTCTTAATGCATATTTCTCAAGGGGTGAAGTCAATAATCACCATGCACATTATGACTTGTCTTGAACCCTCACTTTTTCCATTTTTGTCTAACTTTGTGAGATTTGACTCATGATTCCAATGAACAGAACACACTTCGTTTGCTAATGTTTCACAGAAATGATGCCTGAAACCCTGGGCTGCTTGTTTTTGACAATTTCACTGTGGTGCCCTCCAAGAAAAAGGCAAACTGTAGAAGGTGATCAGCCAGGAACCTAGTGAATCATACCTGTGGTCATATGTGGAGAGTTGGCTCCAGCAGTTCTTACGGTTGAGGTCACATGAGTTACCTACAGATTTAGTCTCATGTGAGGCAAAACGCTGCCCATTTGCAGTCTAAGAAGCAACTAGTGAGAGCTTTTAGKGATTCACTGCAACCTTGAGATAACAATAGCATCCWCAGCATTCAGTGCCTTCTTCTGTGAACTTGGCATAATTAGATGCTATCAGTGGTTTGAGATGATTTTGACATAGTCAAGACTCATCAGTGAAGAGACCCTCAGTCCTAAWAGGAAAAGAGAAGGCTAATAGCAAAATGCTCCATCAATTGAATTACCTTTCCTCATAGGATGTCTGAAGCACAGAATGTTCTGGAAGTGTAGGGCTCTCCTCAGTCCTCCTTGAGGTGGCACCTTCCTAGGACTGGTTCCCTTCCAGGTCACCAGGTGGTAGCATCACCTGAACAAGAGGCTATGAGACAGAAAATGGAGTGTCCTTCCTTAGGTCCACACATAAGTCATTTCCCCAGGAATCAACTAGGCTGGTTGAAACTCTCCAGTGGACGGGATGATGGCCTCAAACTGGGTCCAGAGCCTGTCCCACTGATCTGTGATCGACTTATATGATGGTCAAGTGAATGTTGTGTGTTTGGGAGAAAGGGATTTGTTGGGGAGGAGTTTTTCTGTATTATTTGGGTGGGCTTTGAGTGTAATCACTCATCTCACTATGAGACAGAGCAAAGTAGAGAGGAAGTGGAGAGGAAGTGGAGAGGAAGAGGAGAACAGGGGGCACAATACACTGGAGATAGAAACAGATTGGTGCAGCCAGTARCTGATCATTTTGCCCTACAAAAAATCCATTTTCATAAGATTACAGTGTGTTGCAATCACTGCTTTACAGATCCCTGTACTATTATTATATAAGTGCTTCCTTTTGACCTTGTTAAAGTTGAAATCTGATAAATGTATTCCATGCCTCATGGTTGCTAACACCCTGCTTTGCAGAATCAATCATGTTGGGCTTCGTGGTTATCCGTTYATTTTCAAATTCCATATTTATGTATTGTGACATTAAAAATCAGAGACACGGTGGTGTTGAAATATTACCATATATTTTTCTGCTCCTGTGAATCAGGTTGTTTGAATCTTCTCTACGGCTTATAAAGGAAATAAAAAATTTATAAACCTGGCGGGGGCGGTGAGCCTATTGGCTGTAACAGTAACTACTCACCTTTGGTTAGTTCCAAAGGTTTTTCCAAAGTGTTGAGCCATTTTACTTACCAAGCAGATATTCCTGCACTTCCACATCATTCCGCAAATATTTTTACTTAATCTGACAATCTAAATGGTGTAGAGAATCAGATGTGACTGCAAGCTTGAAAACGTAATGCTTACTGTCCTTGATGGGGCAAACAGGAGGTCCCTTCAAGGTTTAGATAAGGTGACGGCAAGCATACTTGCACAGGAGATGTTTGTTGTCCTTGATGGGGCTGGCCTGCAAATGGGAGGTTCCTTCAATAAGGTAACAGCGGACCTGCTTGAAAACGAGGTGTCTGCTGTCCTTGGGAGGACTTGCTCGAAAACGGGATGTTCTGCTAAGTGGGCTACCAGGGTGCTGAGAAAATTTAAGAGCTGAGCTGAGCATGCTCCAAGCCAAGAGTAGATTAAGCCATGAGAAGCGGGTCCCTTCTGATTAGAAAGTAAGACTTCTGTATGCTACGTTTAATTAGCTGAAAGACCTGACTGATTGCTGTTGGAAGGCTGCCTTCTTTGTTCACAATACTATAAAAAGACTGCTGTATAAAATAAAGGAACTTTTTTCCTTCGGCTTCTTCAGCTTCTTCTTTCTTGCTCATGCTGACCTGCAAGTGAGTTATTTGCAACAAAATAGYGTACAGTATAATTCAATTAACTTAAGTTTCTCTTACAAAGGGAATCAGTGTTAGTTCACATAGAACTGGACTTGTTGTCTGTCTTGTGAAAACTGTGTACTATGTTTCCATTGAGCTTTTTATCTTTTTTTAAGAATTAATTCCTGATAGTTCTTTAAGTAATCTGTAATAGCAGTCCTCTCCTTTTTTCTCTTCATACATCACAATTTATTCTTTAGACATATGTCTCCTTTATCATATGTGTTAGTGTAGTTAGTAGATACACTAAGTTGTTTTGATTTAATTTGTCAATTTTTTTGTTCATATATTTACTTTTTTTAAAAAAATATGTTTTAATTAGTTTTACATGACAGTAGAATGCATTTATGCACTTTGATGTATCATACATAGATGGGATATAATTTCTCATTTTTCTGAGTGTATATGTTGCAGAATCATATTGGTCATGCAGTCACATATATACAAACAGTAATAAGGTCTGTTTCAWTCTACTATCTTTCCTATCCCCAATTTCCCTCCCCTCCCCTCCCATCACTTCCCTCTTTATTTTATTTTTCTGACAGCATTTTTCTGGACCACTGCTCAGTAGGTGTTGGTACTACTTTGAGAACACAGTAGCAGTCTTGCCTTTCCCACTGGAAGCTGAAGCCNCACCACCAAATATGACAGCTGCGATATAGACAAGGATGTTGTCAATGAACGTATCCGAACAGGCCAGGTGAATCATCTGAGCAAGTTCACAGAAGAAGTGGGGGATCTCCAGGTCTGTGCAGAAGGACAGTCTCAGCACCATCAGAGTGTGCAGCAGGGCGTCCACAGTGCTGATGCACAAAGAGGTCAGAGTCATAAGGACACAGAGGCGCAGATTCATGATGACTGTGTACCTGAGTGGATGGCAGATGGCCACATAATGGTCAAAAGCCATTGCTGCCAGGAGAAAGTTTTCCATTCCAACAAAAACCAGAGCAAAGTAGACCTGGGTGAGGCAGCCTGCGTAACTGATGCTCTTGCTCTGTCTCTGGATGTTCACCAGCATCTTGGGGACCATGATGGTGCTTAAGGAGATGTCAGTGAGGGACAGGTTGGAGAGGAAGAAGTACATGGGGGTGTGGAGGTGGGAGTCAGAGCTGATGGCCAGGATGATGAGCAGGTTTCCCAGGATGGTGACCAGGTACATGGACAGGAACAGGCTGAAGAGGAGGGGCTGCAGGGCTGGGTCATCTGTCAGTCCCAGGAGCAGGAATTCTGAAACTGCTGCTTGGTTTCTGGGTTCATGTTGTTGGTGAATCTCAAGGAAAATATGGGGTGATAAGGTCGTAAAACATATGGACAGCATTAGGAACATTATTTGGGAAGATGATAGCAATGCAAGTTCTCAGTCCCTCCATCAGACTCACTGCCAATAAACCCTGTGGATGAGGACTGTCAGTCTAAGTTTCAACAAGCCCTCTGGGCGACTTTGATATGTGCTGAATTCTGAGAACCATTTATTTTTTTAAAAAAAGCTTTATCATTAATACTGTGAACACAAATGAATATTTAATCATTCTCCTCTGCCACTCTCTCCTCCCTTCCCCGTTCACTCACTTCTCCTTTTTCTTACCTCATTTATTGAAACAATTGTTTTACTGAACACCTACCATTGCACATACTGAGTTGAGTGCTGAGAATAAGCAATGCATAAGGCGTGGCTTTCCCCTTAGAATTAGTCTGTGCCTTCAAGCAAACAGTAAGACAGGAATGGTGGTGTGATCTCCCTCCTCTTGATCCAAAGTTGGTGATGAACCTTTCGCTGAATGCAGGGTACATTTCAACAGTGTGGACAATGGGATTCACCAACTTTGGATTCTCTCAGAGTCGTGTGATGATCTTGTCAAACTGCTGACGTGTTAGTCCTCACTGCCACTCCATCTTACCTACCCATGAAGACCCTTGAGTCACAGGAGGTCATCTTGGGATGTGGGATGTGAAATGGGTGCTTGACTAAGACCAGGACTGAGCTCAGGTCGTCTGACTGAGGGGTTGACTCTCCACTAAGCTTTGCTAGTGCTCTGGATAGCACGATCTTGTATTCCTACAGGGTCACTCAGATCTTATAACCTATCTTTGTAATTTTAATATTTCTTCCAATGCAAAGCCTT